GAAAAAAAAAGTCAACAGATCTTTACTGAGTTCCCACGTAGGCTCAGTACTCCGCCGAGTAACTGTTGGCCTCACAGCACCCTTAACATCAAGAGGCTCGGAGCTTAAAGGGGAGGAAGACATATGAGCAATTGAAATGCCAAAGATGAGTGAAGAAATGCCACAGAAAGCACGGGTTGTTAAGGGAACAAGAGACAGGAGCACCAGCTCTGTGGGAAGTTAGTGAAGGCCTTCCAGGAGAAGTGATATTTAACCTGGCACTAAGAAAGTACAGGAATTTTCCGGATAGATGAGGTGAGGTGAAAGGCATTCTAGGAAGACACGTCAGCGTGTGCACAGACACGAAGTCATGCAGTTATGTGGCACATTTGGAGAATAATAAGTAACCTGTTATGCACCTGTAATTTCTGTAAGACCAGGAATTCATGCTGTATCCTCAGCATCTAGGATGATGCCTGTAGCATAGTAAGCACTAAATAAGTATTTGTTGGATGGATGGATGGATGGGCAGGAAGGAAACATAAATGAGACCAGGGAGATAAGAGAGGTTCAGTGATAAAGAGCCTTGCTTAGTAAATGCCCACCATGAAGACTGAAAGAGGAATAGGAGGAGATTTTATTCATTGTCTGCTTGGGAAGAAACAACAAATACTAAAATATCTGTAATATGTTGTGAAAAAGAAAAGTGACAGGACGTGAAAAGTACATTAAAAGCGTTATGATGGTTCAGAGGAAATAGAGGTCCATTTCAGCTGAGGGGATCAGAGAAGTTGTCTTTGGAGCTAGACTCTTTGGAGTTGCTTATACCTCGTTCTGAATTGTATGGTTCCCCCAAAAACACATACGTGAAGTTGGAGCAGAGAGTGTTGTGGCAGAAGAGCGATGTGAATTTGGAACCGGCCTAGATGGCTTTGCCTGCTCTGTCATAAATGTATCAGCATTTTGTAGGCAGCCATTTATCAGCCTGCACCACTTCTTGCAAGCGGAACCTGACAGGCTCCGATGTTATCTGTAGCAAACACCTTTTTCTTGTTTATGAGAGTGTCTGCGTGTGTGTTTATGCTTGCACCTGCACACCAGTGATTTGAAGGCAGCTCTTTCTACAGAGACAAGCACTAAAGGGGGATACGTCAACTGAAACACAAGCTTTAATACCTTTTAAAAATGCACCTTGCTACCCACACACTTTCATTATATGCATGCACACACACACACACAGATGCACACAGAGTTCTGTAAGTAGTGGCCTGGGCGAGATTTTAGGTGACTGTAGTAGATGGTACTTATATTTATTTCCTCAGCTCTATCCTATACCTTAATCTTCACTTCCACCAAGGCTCATCAGGTACCAGTTATATCCCCATGACCTTCTAGATTCTGTAAGGAGTTCATGTAAGAAAATGATTCATTAATTAGTCCAATACATACTTATTGATAACCACCTATGTGCCAGGCACTATTCTTAACACTGAGGATGCAGCATGGGATAAAAAGAACCAATCCCTGCCCTCTTGGAGTTTACATTCTGGGAGGTGGGTAGAATCAAAAAAATGTGGTGCTTTAGGTGGTGTAAGTGCTATAGTGAGATCAGTATAGCAGAGTAAGCGGGAGAGTGTGAGGGTCGGGTGGTCAGGAAAACAGTCTGTCCGGTAATGTGACACTTGAATAGTGACTTGAAGGAAAAAATAAGCAATGGGACTGTCTGGGGCAGGAGTATTCCAGGCAGGGGGAACAACCAGAGCAAAGACCCCGAGGCAGGATTGTGTGGCCAGTGTGGCAAGGGCACAATGGGCAAGGTGGAGAGTGGCAGGGGGTAAGGAGAGTTGTGGGATGAGGGACTGTCATGCCAGGCCCACTGGCCATTGTGAGGACTTTGGCTTTTACCCTGAGTGAGACAGAAAGCCAGTGGAGACTTGGTGCAGAGAAGTGGCATGCTCTGATTTGCATCAGCATCCATGTCGAGAATAGATTGCAGGATGAAAGCATAGAAGCAGGAAGACGACCAAATGGTGGACTCAGTCAAGTGAGTTAACAGTGGAGGTGTGGAGGAGTGACCAGGTCGTAGATGTATTTTGAACTGTTTGGACCAACAGGATTTGCTGTTGGGTTAGATGTGGAATGGGAAAGAAAGGAGTTGATGATGACATCAAGATTTTTGGTCTGAGCAACTGGAAGGCTGGAGCTGCTTGTAACTGAGATGGGAAAGATTGCAGGAAGAACAGGCTTGGAGGACGTCAAGAGCTCAGTTTTGAGCGCCTTAAGTTTGAGATGCCTATTAGTGAGGAGTTGAATGTAAGACTCTAGAGTTCAGTAGACTGGTCTGGGCTGGAGATATAAATTTAGGAATTGCAGCAGTTAGATGGCTTGCGAAGCTGTAAAATGGAATAAAATAACCTAGGAAGTGGGTATAGAAAGAGAAGAGTCTGAGAACTGAGCACTGGGGCATTCTAACACTTAGAGATCAGGGAGATGAGAAGGAACTAGCACTGAGTGAGCACTGAAGCCAAGTGAAGAAACTGCTTCAAAGAGAGTGGAATAATAACCTGTTATCAGATGTTGCTGAGAGATCAAGTGAAATGCAAATGTTGAAGTCTTTAAGACCTCTGTTGAGTTGTTTTAGTGGGGGGTGGGGGGAGCCGGGGGAAGCCTGATTAGACTGCTTTCGAGAAAAGAATGGGAGGAGCGGGAACAATGATTAGTACTATAGAAAACTCTTTGAGGTTTTACTGTACAGAGGAGCAGAAAACTGGGCCATTGCTGGGAGGGAATGTGGGATCAAGTCAAGCTTCTCGTTTTTTTTCTTGGTTGGGAGAAGCTGGGGTCCTGATGGGAATGATCCTAGGAGGGAGGGGAAATGCAGTGATTCCAGAGATACAGTGATGTCCACATGTAGCTGAGAGGGGATGCTCAAGGGGAAGAAGGTTGGCCTTAGACTGGGTGAACTGTGCACGCTCCCTAGTAACAAACTACTTTGCTACAAGTGCAGACAGATTGGTAAGTTTGGTGCTGCAGCATGTGTAGATTCTCTTTTGCTTGCTTGTATTTTCTCATACCAAAGAGTAGAGGTGTTGGAGGTTTAAAGAGAGGGAAGTTCAGGACTCCCCTGGTGGCACAGCGGTTAAGGATCCACCTGCCAATGCAGGGGACATGGGTTTGAGCCCTGGTCAGGGAGGATTCCACATGCTGCGGAACAACTAAGCCCGTGCTCGACAACTACCGAGCCTGTGCTCTAGAGCCCGCGAGCCACAACTACTGAGCCCGCGCCCCTAGAGCCTGTGCTCCGCAACCAGAGAAGCCACCGCAACGAGAAGCCCGCACACCGCAACAAAGAGTAGCCCCTGCTCGCCACAACTAGAGAAAGCCCGTGTGCAACAACAAGGACCCAATGCAACCAAAAAAATAAATAAATAAATAAAATTTTGAAATAAAATTTAAAAATAAAGAGAGAGAAATTCAAAGACTGTTGCCAGAGAGCAAGAGAAAATCATGGACCAGGTAAATGTAGTAGGACTGTCAGGCAGCATAAGGGCTCACTTGAATTTAAAGTGAGAACAGCCAACGTAGTTGTATGATTTTCTCCAACTACATACGGCTGAATGGGAACAGGCAGAGCAGGATGAGCATTAGACTTAGCCAGGGGTTGTGGGTTCCCAGATAAAGGAGAGGAATGGAGGAAAAAAAGCAAGGGAATGATGATAATGATGGATCACAGGAGCAAGTTAGGTAGGGAGGGAAGTGAGGACAGGGATAGAAGGTGAGAGTGCAAGGTGGCAGGATTAACGGAGTGAAGGTCCCAGTAGGATGTAACGAATTGTGATGACAGTCTGATCCTTGGCATTTGCAGTGCTTTAGGGTTGTATACATAGTGCTTTGTGTGTGTTTGCATAATATAAACCCTATAAGGTAGGTAGGACAGGCGGTGGTGATGTTGACTCTCGTTCTATAGATGAAGCAGGATCCAAAGAAGTAAATAACTTTATCTAAAAATCACACATAAGTCAGTGGTAAAGCATAGACTCAACCCAAGGCTCTGTTTTATATGTGATGTCTTTTTACCACTTTGTGTGGTGTCTGCTCACAGATTACTCAGTCTCATTGAAGAGATGGAATGTAGAAGACAGCATAAGGGAATATGTAATCTAGTGTTAAATTCTATAGTATGACAGGATGTAAGGCGTTTATTCATTCAATTATGTATATTGAGTACCTAGTGTGTGCAGGGCTCTATTATAAGTACTAGGGATATAGCAGTGAATGAGATGGGGAAATCCTGAAGTTATGTGCTTCAGAGAAGTTTTAGAAGGGTTTCTATGTGATTTTTCCAAGGCATCATGATTTGGTAAAAAAGCACAGTGTACTGAAAGTTAGGAAACTTGTTTCTCTGCTACTTGCTATGTGTGACATTGTTGTTTCAACTCACCATGTCTTATTGGGGGACCCCGTCCGTAAACTGAGATGTTACAGTTTTGCAAGTCCCACCCTGACTAAAAGGTGCGTCTGAGTCTGTATTCTAGCTTAATGGGATAATTGCTCTAAAGTGTTTTAGTCCTCATCAGACTTCCTGACCTAAAAAGTGGGAATGCCACATCTCATCTCATAGTGACAAGACCCTGTTTCCATAGTGAAATGCGGCACTAACACGCATTCTAGTCATCCTTCTTTTTTTTTTAAAGTTTTTATTGAATTTGTTACAATATTGCTTCTGTTTTATGTTTTGGTTTTTTGGCCACGAGGCATGTGGGATCTGAGCTCCCTGACCAGGGATCGAACCTATACCCCCTGCATTGGAAGGCAAAGTCTTAACCACTGGCCCACAAGGGATGTCCCCATCCTTCATTTTTGAAACTCTGGGGAAATAAGAAAGGGAGATAGAGGCCATGCTCAGCCTGCAGGTGCAACAGTCCCCACCCTTAACCTGGTGACATCTGAGGACCTGTGAAAAGCTTTGAAGTAACTAATGACTTGCCACCCTCTTCTTACTCCTTCCTGTTCAGGCCTGGAAGAAACGCTGGTTTATCCTGCGAAGTGGGCGGATGAGCGGTGACCCAGATGTTCTGGAATACTACAAGAATGATCACTCCAAGAAGCCCCTGCGCATCATCAACCTGAACTTCTGCGAGCAGGTGGATGCAGGCCTGACCTTCAACAAGAAGGAGCTGCAGGATAGTTTTGTGTTTGACATCAAGACCAGCGAGCGCACCTTTTACCTGGTGGCCGAGACGGAGGAGGACATGAATAAGTGGGTCCAGAGCATCTGCCAGATCTGTGGCTTCAATCAGGCCGAGGAGAGCACAGGTATGGGAACAAACATGGATCTTTCTCAGAAGGGACCAGGCACTTCCTGGGAGGGGCTGGGAAGTTGCGGCTAGGATGATGGCCTTCACATTCCTTGAACCAGAACAACCTGTAGCTAAAGGCTTTCCTCTGTGGCAGAGGAGTAATAGGCAAAGGGTAGGAGTGTGAAGGGGTTAGCCAAATATTAGAGGGCTTCCTAGCACTAAATAGGCTCAAGTGGGAAACAGATATGTTGGGGTTATGATGAAGCTCAAGGTACTTGATGGTGTTTCTTCAAGTACCTCCATGCCACCACATTTCGCAGGTCTGCACCTTTCTCCCCTTCCCTCAGCTCTCTAGCTCTTTGTGCCCTGTTAACTGTCAGCCATCTCATAGGGCAACTCACACCTTTATCCCTTCTCTGATGCATCTCTGTCCGTTCCTGCCATCTATTTCAGACCATCCTGCACAGTTATCCTTGCCACTTTTTTTTGGCAGGGGGAGGTTTGGGATCCCTTGTGATTATTATTGATGTATAATCCAGTGTTCATTATATTTACTTGGGAAGGGACAGTCAAGAGGGGGAAATTCTGATTTGTGTTGGGTTTTGTTAACCTTCCAAAAAAAAGCGTAGCTCAACTTTTCAAAATAAGTTTTAAATTGCAGAAATGCTCTTTGACATTTGTTGGGGCTCATCCTCAACTCTGGGATGATTGAGGAGTAGGGTTTTTTTGAGGCGGATGGAGACCCTAAATTAGGTTTCCTGAAGCTGGTTACATATCAGAAGTAGAAGAACATTTTTTAAATGCTGATGCCAAGGACCCATATCAAATCGGTTAACTACGAACCTCAGGGGTGGGACCTAGGCATTAGTGTCTTTTGAAAACTTCATTCTAAGTAGCAAGGGTCTGGGGCTCAGCATCCGTTTTCTGTACATAAATTAAGGCCTCATACAGTCTCTGATTCATATACCTGTTTTCTAAATTTTTTACAGCCCTTTAAAAACAAAAACCATTCCTAGCTCATCAGCAACATCGTCCTCATCTGGGAATCTGTTAGAAATGCAGATTCTTGGGCCCCACTCCAGACTTACTGAATCAGAAACTCTGAGCGTGGAGCCCAGCAATCTGTGTTTTGATCAGCCTGCCAGGTGATCTGATGCACAGTTAAGTTGGAGAACCGCTGGTTTAGATTCTCGCTGCTCAGAGTGGGGTTTGTGGACCAGCAGCGTCAACCTCTCCTGGGAACTTGTTAGAAATGCAGAAGACTTCCGCCCAGACTTAAAGAATCAGAATCTGCCTATCTTTAAAACTTCTTATTCTGAAATAATGTTAGACTTACAGAAGAGTTGCAAAAATTGTACAGCAAATTCCCATATATCTTTCATTCAGCTTTCCCTGATGTTAACATCTTGCTTAACCAGGTATAGTGGTCAAAACTGAGCAGTTAACATTGATTGGTACAGTACTATTAACTGCAGTGTACTGGGATTTCACCTGTTTTTCACCAGTGTCTTTATTCTGTTCAGGATTCAATCCAGGATAGCACAATTAGATTTGTTGGTTCTGTCTCCAGGGCTCCTCCAATCTGTGATGACAGTTCCTCAGTCTGTCTTGTCTTGTTTGACCTTGACACTTTTAAAGAGTACTGGTTAGGGGGCTTCCCTGGTGGCACAGTGGTTGAGAGTCCGCCTGCCGATGCAGGGGACATGGGTTCGTGCCCCGGGCTGGGAAGATCCCACATGCCGCGGAGCAGCTGGGCCCGTGAGCCTGGGCCGCGGAGCCTGCGCGTCCGGAGCCTGTGCTCTGCAACAGGAGAGGCCTCAACAGTGAGAGGCCTGCGTACCGCAAAAAAAAAAAAAAAAAAAAAAAAAAAAAGAGTACTGGTTAGGTATTTTGTAGAATGTCCCTCCATTTGGTGTTTTCTTGTGATTCGATTGAAGTTTGGGGGAGACTACCACAGAGGTGATGTGCCTTTCTCTGCACGTTGTATCAGGGGGCACGTGGTGTCAATACGTCTTATTACTGGTCATGTTAACCTTGATTAAGGTAGTATCTGCCAAGTTCCTCCACTGTAAAACTACTGTCTTTGCTTTTGTAATTAATAAATAGTTTGGAGGAAATACTTTAATCATGTGCAAATATCCAATTTCTCCTTAAACTTTTGCGCACTAATTTTAGCATTTATCAGTGGATCATGTTTACAACCATTATTACTGTGGTATTCTAGTGAATTTTTCTATTTCCCTCAGAATCCACATTTTATTAAGATCCCTAGGTGATTTGTATGCACGTTAAAGTTTGAGGAGCTCTGGTCTGGATTATTTGTCCACAAACCTGGTGGCTCATCAGAATCACCCTAAAAACTTTTATCTAACTTACAGGTACTAATTCAGTAGTTCTGGCTTAGGGCTGAGGAATCAGTAGTTTAAAGAGATTCCTCCTACAGAATGGGTGGAATTATTTCCAAATCATATCTGATGAGGGTCTAGTGTCCAGAATATAAGAAGAATTCTTACAACTCAATAACAACAAGAAAAAGACAAATGACCTCATTTAAAAATGGGCAAAGGATCTGAATAGACATTTCTCCAGAGAAGATGTACAAATGACCAGTAAGCCCATGAAAAGATGTTGAACATCATTAATCATTAGGCAGATGCAAAGCAATATCACTAGCACTTCACACCCACTAGGATGGCTGTAATCAAAATATGGACAATGACAACTGTTGGCAAGAATGTGGAGAAACATACATTGCTCATACATCCCACCTCATACATTGCTGGTGGGAAAGTAAAATGGTACAGCTACTGGAGAACACAGTGTGTCCGTTTTTTAAAACCTTAAACCTGTGACCCAGCAATTCAATTCCTAGGCATATACTCAAGAGAAATGAAAATATGTTCACACAAAAATTTATAGACGAATGTTCATAGAAACGCTATTCATAATAACCAAAATGTGGGCACAGCCCAAACGTCCATTAATGAATAAACAAGATGTACGTGTGGCGGAGCGCATGTGTAGTGAGCGCTTTTAAGATCTACTCTCTTAGCAGCTTTCAAGTATACACTTGTTACAGTATTGTTAACTATAGTCACCATGCTGTATATTACATCCCTAGGATTTATTCATTTTACAACTGGAAGTTTGTACCCTTTGATCCTTACCCATTTCCCCTGCCCCATCCTTGCCCCTGAAAACCACCAATCTGTTCTCTGTTTCTATGAGTCTGGTTATTTTAGATTCTGCGTATAAGTGAGACTATACAGTTTTTGTCCTTCTCTGTCTGACTTATTTCACTTAGCGTAATGGCCTGAAGGTTCATCCATGTTGTCACAGATTGCGAGATTACCTTCATTTTATGCTGAATTATACACACACACACACACACACACACACACACACTGTATATGTGTGTGTGTGTGTGTGTGTATGTGTCTATAGAATGTGTGTGTGTATGTATATATATTAAAAATGTGATTTTTTTTAATATATAGTCACATTTTCTTTATCCATTCATTCTTCAGTGGACCTTTAGGTTGTTTCCATGTCATGCCTACTGTAAGTAATGCTGAAATGAACATGAGGGAGCAGATATCTCTTCCAGATAGTAATTTCAGTTCCTTCAGTGATATATCCAGAAGTGGCATTGCTGGGTCATATGGTATTTCTATTTTTAATTTTTTGAATAAACTCCATACTGTTTTGCATAGTGGCTGTACCAATTTATATTCCCACCTACAGTGCACAAGGGTTCCCTTATCTCCACATCTCTGCTCACACTTACCTCATATCTTTTTGACAATAGCCATTTAACAGGTGTGAAGTGATATCTCATTGTGGTTTTGATTTGATTTACATTTCCCTGATGATTAGTGATGTTGAGCACCTTTTCAGGTAGCTGTTTGCCATTTGAATATCTTCTTTGGAAAAAGGTCTGTTCAGGCTCTTTGCCCATTTTTTAATCAGGTTATTTGAGTTTTTGCTGTTGAGTTATATGAGTTCCATATATATATATTTTTTGTTTGTTTGTTTGTTTGTTTGCGGTACACGGGCTTCTCACTGTTATGGCCTATCCCACTGCGGAGCACACGCTCTGGAAGTGCAGGCTCAGCGGCCATGGCTCACGGGCCCAGCCGCTCCGCGGCATGTGGGATCTTCCCGGACCGGGGCACGAGCCCACGTCCCCTGCATCGGCAGGTGGACTCTCAACCACTGCGCCACCAGGGAAGCCCTATATTTTTGATATTAATCCCTTATCAGACATGAAGTTTGCAAATATTTTCTCCCATTTCTTAGGTTGCCTTTTCATTTTATTGATTGTTTCTTTTGCTGTGCAGAAGCTTTCTAGTTTACTGTAGTCCCACTTATTTACTTTTGCCTTTCTTGCTTGTGCTTTTGGTGTCATATCCAAAAAATCGTTGCCAAGACCAGTGTCAAAGAACTTTTCCTCTGTGTTTTCTTTTAGGATTTTGATGGTTTCAGGTCTTACATCTTTTATCCATTTCAAGTTAATTTTTATGCATTGTGTAAGATAGGGGGTTTTTTGTTTGGTTTTTTTTGTTTGTTTTATTTATTTTGGGCTACATTGGGTCTTTGTTGCTGCACGCGGGCTATCTCTAGTTGCAGTGAGTGGGGGCTACTCTTTGTTGTGGTGCACAGGCTTCTCATTGTGGTGGCTTCTCTTGTTGTGGAACACGGGCTCTAGGCTCACGGGCTTCAGTAGTTGTGGCACACAGGCTCAGTAGTTGTGGCTCATCGGCTTTAGAGCACAGGCTCAGTAGTCGTGGCGTGCAGGCTTAGTAGCTCTGCAGCATGTGGAATCTTCCTGGCCAGGGCTCGAGCCCATGTCCCCTGCATCGGCCGGCAGATTTTTAACCACTGCACCACCAGGGAAGTCCTAAGATAGGGTTTTTGTTCGTTTGTTTTTTATTTATTTTAACATCTTTATTGGAGTATAATTGCTTTACGATGGTGTGTTAGTTTCTGCTTTATAACAAAGTGAAGCAGCTATAC